ATTTTGGCTCTAAGCCCAAGATTGGCTAAAGTCAGCCTTAAACACAGAGCCACTTAAGGATCCTCCTGTTTAGCCTCTTCACTGTGGTACCAAAAAGAAAAAAAAAAAACAAAAAACTGATACCCAGAGAGAGGGGCAGGGACTTGTCTGACATCATACAGCAAGGGGTACGGAGGGAGTAGGACCAAAGGTGACTTCTCTGCCCTTAGACCCCCTCATTCTTGCTGGGAGAGGGGGTAGAGCCCCATCTCCCAAGAGCTCCCTTGGAGAAAAAGGACTATTGGCCCAGCTGTCTCAAGAAAGCCAAGGCCAGGAAGGCCAGGAGATTTTTTTTTTTTAAGATTTTATTTATTTGACAGAGATCACAAGTAGGCAGAGAGGCAGGCAGAGAGAGAGGAAGGAAAGCAGGCTCCTTGCTGAGCAGAGAGCCCGATGCGGGGCTGGATCCCAGGACCCTAAGATCATGACCTGAGCCGAAAGCAGAGGCTTTAATCCACTGAGCCACCCAGGCGTCCCAGGCCAGGAGATTTTGAACAGGGTCTGGGCATTGGCATCCAGTCTTGCAGCTCTGAAATGAGTGTGTTGGAATAACAATCCTCCCTAACCATGGATCTTCATCTTTGAGAACTTTGGGAGGACTCATCTCAGGGTTCTCCCCATTAGACATATAGGGAAGCAGAGCCCTAGAAGAAGGGGCTGGTAGTAGAAAGTCTTTGGAAGAAAGAAAGAGAGTGCCAGAGCCCCTGGCCTGCAGGGTGCACTGCTAGTGATAACAAACCCCACAAAGGCAGGTTACATGGTTCTCGAAAAATTTGGTTAAATTCTTCTATGTTTCCACCTACTTAAACAATGCCTACAGAAAGATCCTGATCCAGGTGCAGGAATTACACAGGAATTGACTCTGCCCAACTATCTATGTAACCTGGGTCAGTTGCTCTCTCTCTCTCTCTCTCTTTGGTCCTTTTAAAATGAGAGTCAGAGAGGGGGCACCTGGCTGACTCAGTTGGTAGAGCATGGGACTCTTGATCTTGGGGTTGTGAGCTGGAGCCCCACGTTGGGTGTAGAGATTACAAAACAAAACCAACCCTTGGAAAAAAATAAAATAAAATAAAATAAAATAAAATAAAATAAAATAAAATAAAATGAGGGTTCCAAAGAGAGGACCTACCAAGTTAGGACTGTTTTGGCTGCAGCGTCTCTGATTCTCCCAAACTGAACACCTAATCTGAGCCCTGGAGGCCTTGCTTGCCCTACACCCAACCCTCCACCAAGCAAGAGCAGGGATAGGGGCTGGAGGAGTCGATTTCAGGTCCCTAGAGCCCTGGAGCAGCCCCAAACCCCAGACACATCTGGAGGGGCGGACTTGGTGGAGAGAAAGGGGAGGCAAGGAGGGAGTGCCCTCTGAGTGAGAGCAGGTTGCTCACTGCAGATCAAGGTGGAGGTTCCTCTGGAGGTATTTTGGCTTCTCAATTAATTCTCAATGGGCTTTCTTTCAATAGCAGAGCTTTCAAAGGCAATTGGTCTTCTATAAATTGAGTTTCTTCCCGGATGGTTTCCTTTCCCAGTGTCTGCCTCCAGCGCTTAGCATAGGGCCCTGTCCAAAGTTGTGCGGTTGGGGGAAGGTAACCCAGTGACTGTTACACACAGCGAGGCCTGACTGGGTTCAGCGCCAGGGCGTTAAGACCAGCTCCCTGCCAGTCTAGTCTGTCTCTGTTCGCTTGTCTCCTCGAGAGTCTCACTTAGACTTGTGGGCTCGTGAGCCATGAGCTCTCGGAGGCAGGACTGTGGTGCGGAAGCCCCGCTCCATCAGGGAGTCGCTGTGTGATCTCACACTAGTCATATTACTTCTGGGGGCCACTGTTTGGTGGCCTGTAAGACTGGGGTAGATGGCCAGGATAGCAGTTCTGGGGGTGCCTCTAGGCAATAGAAGTTCCCGGAAGACGGCTTGCTTGGAGGCTGGAGGCAGTGAGGAACTCCTAACTGAAGGAAAACTCCCTCTGTCCTGGGCACCTGTCGCCCCAACGGGCAGGCAGCCCAACGCCGCCTTAAGCCGCACACCCTCTGTTTGAAATGGGAATCTAAGCTACTCTTGCTCGGTTAATATCTGTGGTTCCATCCCACCCCGGCAGTACTCTGATTCGGTCCCAGACCCACAGGTATCAGGAGGAAAACTGGTTTGTGCCAGTATATCCTACCTAACTGGATTCTTTATTTGGCAGCCCACACCCCCTCGCTCTACCCCAGACTCCCAGCCATCCCAAGTGTGGCTCTGTAGAGGCTCTTCTGAGAGAGTTTTCCAGCCCACAGCCTTTCCTCTACTTTAGATTTTCTATGTGACCTTGGACAAGGCCCTCCTTGGCTTCAGGATATGCATCTGTAAAATGGGGAAAGCATTGCCTCAGGGCTCTTTTCTGCTCTAAGACTTTAGAATTTGAGTTTCTAGGCCTGAAGTCAATGAGTGGGGCTGGAGGTGGAGGTGTCACTGGCTGCGTCCCTCAGGGAGTCCCCCCCCCCTCAGTCTCTCCAGGAATGCTGAGCTGCCACATCAAATTCTAGTTACTTTTTATCCACCTTGCGCCCGTGGGGTGGAGAGAAAGTGGGAACCCTAACTCATCCGGGTTCCTCTCTGCTTTTATGTTCTTCCTGCTTGAGGCGGAGGTGCGGTTGAGGGTATGGGGGAGGGAGGATGGGGGCCTAAGGATTGGGACCTGTCAGGTTCCAGACAAAGGAGAGAGAACGCAGCCACTCCACCCCAGTGCACACTGCAGCCTTCTGGGCCCCCAGAGGCCCTCCTGGAGCCGTTTAACACAGCTGTGCCCTGGAAGGGGTGGGGACGGTGTCAGCACCGGAAACTTATCTACCGGTCAGGGGCAGCTGGGTCTGGGACAGTAACAGAAGGGGAGACTGAGGGCCTACCCCAATGTAGGAATGTAAGAAATAGGACAGAGGTAGAGAGAAGGGAGACTGAGGCAGAGAATGAACCCAGAGCCCTCTCAGGGTCAACCAGTGCCCTGTCTTCTTTATAAGCTCAAGTCTGGAGGGACCATCTTAGAGCTGCCCCCCCACCCTTTTGTGGACTTATATTAGAGAATCATTAATTGTGAATTAGAAATGGTGGGTCTTGGGACAACTGCCATGAACCACGGAGCAGTAGTCCTCAGTGTCTTTGCCAGTACCTCCTGGGTATAGAATGGCTGTCATGGACTTCCTTTTCAAAGTCCATTCCTTTGATTATGGTCCCAGGGCCTCACACCCCTGAGAAACTGAGACTCCCTGGTCAAAACTCTGCCCTTCTGGACCAGGAAAGTCTGCTAGGCTTCCACCCATTTTTGTCTTCAAAACAACAAGAACTTCCTGGAAGAGGAAAGATGGAGTTTTCTCTACAGCAGCCTGGTAGCATGCCTGGCTTGGCGCAGCCCTTGCATATAGAACTCACCTGCCTACCTGCCAGCTTAAGGGACCCTCATTGGCACTGGACTAACATGACTGGCTTCATTTAATTCCCAAGAAGCTTTGCACCAGATGCAGAATTACCCCTTGGAAACAGAAGCCTTCAGTTGCACACCACTAGCCCCAAGGCGACTGTCAGCTCCTGGTCTGAGGCTGGAAAGAGAGACTCAAGGCTTAGTGCTTGGACAGCCTGGTCCAAAGCCTCAATTAATTTCCTCACCCAGGAGCACCCTGATTACTAACTTTAAAGGAGTGTGAGATTTCTTTCCCCTCAAAGTTTCTGCCTTTCTTTTAGCTCAGAATTGTGGTTCCCTGGGCGGCGGGGGGAGGGTAAGATTGAGGGAGAGGGGTGCACAAGAAGGCGACAGCAGCAGCTTAGTAGGTGGTTGATAAAATTGTGAAATGTTTCCTCTGGAAGGAGCCGCCATTGAAGACTAGGTAAGCCAACTCTACCCATTTTACAGATGAGAAAACTGAGCTCAGAAGGGGTAGATGTGCGCACACCACGAGTCTATCGCGAATCTGGTGGTGCTTAGATTGAAAACTGGATCTCTACTGCGCTCTTATTCTTCCTCCAACATCCGTGTATGTTTTCAGGAGACAGTCCCGCCTCCACCCCCGCCCCGTACCCTTCATCTCCTCATCCCCACTTTGGCTGTCCCTAGTCCCTTAGCGTGTCCCAGGGGCCCAACGCTGCGGCAGGAAGCTCTGGCTCCCGCGGCGTCTGCGGCGGGACTCTCCAGGCCCAGTGTGGATCCCCTTACCCCTCCCCCCACCCGCGCTCCACTAGGCCTTCGCCCCGCGCGTTTGTCAATGAACGTGGCGCCGCCGCCTGGGCCCCGCCCCCCATTCTCTCCTATTGCCCAGGTATCCGCTAATCAGGCGGAGCCCGCCGGTTGCTCAACCAATGGGGCGGTGTCTCGGGCCAGGGCCGGCTGCCACAGCTCTGATTGGCTTGATGAAGCGTGATTGGCAGGTTAGCCCCCGCCCCGCCCCCGCCCGGAGGGAGGCTGAGCCCCGGGCGGCGCTGTCCACACGCAGCGGGTCCTGAAAGCGGCTCCGGGGCGGCGCGGTGGCGCACTGTGCGCGCCGAGCAGGCGGAGGGCTAGCGCCGGCGGCGGCGGCGGCGGCGGCAGCAGCAGCAGCAGCGCGGACAGTCAAAGCCGACAGCGGCTCCATCTCAACACCGGCAGTCCCGGCGGCCTTGGTGGAGGGGACCTTTCGCTATCTCCGTCCCTCGCTACACGCCGGGGCAGGCGCGGCGGCCGTCCCGGAAGAGGCAACCGAAAAACGTTGGAGCCAGACCCCTGAGAGAGGGCAGGGGGGCTCGAAGAGTTGGTGGGCGTGAGGCAGATACTCAGGCGTGGAGGACACTGTCGCTGTTGTCCCCAATCCTGGTCCCAGCGATGCGGGTGCATCGGGAACCGGGGGAACTTTAAAGGCAGAGGGTCCAGGGGTGTGAAAGCTATAAGCTCCTGGGGACTCAGGAGTCACGGCCCCAACGTCAGTGACGGAAACGTCTCCGAACCCTCCGGGGCCGCCAGAGAGGAAGTTCTTTGCAACTTCGTCTGAGACGTCGGAGAGCCGAGTGGAGCGAGGCTGGGGCTGCAACTCCAAGCCCCAGAGACTCGGAGAAGCAGAGAAAGAATCCGGTGGAGACCGAGGGGTCGAGAGAGACTCCAGAGGCAGCGAGGCCGTGGAACCAGCCTGGCAGCCGGCGGGCCTCGCTGCCCCTTGAGTGAAACCAAGGGCCGTGTGTCCCGCAGGCCTCCTCAAAGCCGCTCCTACAGGAGGCCGGGGGCTCCTTGCCGTCCCAGAGACGGGCCCCTACGATATGCCCCCAAAGCTGCCAGTTCCTTGGCCGCATCTACTCTGGCCCGGCTCCGCAGCCGCTGCCTGAGACGGCCCAGGAGGGAAGCCACCAGGAGTTGGGCGCCCCACTCCCAGCCGGACTGCACTAGCGCCGTTTCCCGCCTCTAGGCGCAGCTCTCGGCGATCTCCAGCGGAGCAGCTCTGAGAGAGGCCCCGGAGATCCAGCAGCGTTTTCTAAGCCCAGATCGCACACTACCCGGCCTGGCGGCGTGGCTCCCTAGCCGCGCTGGGCAGCCCCTTGGCGCCGGGAGGCGGCGGCGTCGGCCGGCCTGCAGTCTGGAGCGCCCCGATGGAAATACACTGTAAGCACGACCCGTTTGCATCCATGCATAGTAAGTAGGCGGCAAGCTCGCTTCTCTCACTCTCCGGCCGGGACGGGGTTGGGTGTGCCGGACCGCGGGGCAGATGCCAGGGCCGGAAGGACTCAGGACTTCTGTAGCAACACAGTCAAGTTGGCAAAGTGCAGTGCTCTCAGGAAGGGCGTGTGGAACTACGCGCCTGGTTCCCGGGGCCAGAGCACCTGGCACCGGGAATCCCGCCTCCAGCAACGGGTAGTGTAGACTTCGAGCTGCAGCCTCTTTGGGGGCGGGGGGAGGGGTGAGGCTGGCTCCGGCAGCAACATTTCAGCATGTTACATGTGAGAATCGTAGCTCGGACCTGAAGAGGGCTCCGGGACTGGCTAGTTGGAGGGCAGAAAGTTGTAGGGAGGGGTCAGTCTTAAGTCTAAGACAGTGTCCCACACCCCATCCCCGGTAGCGCCTTTTCAGCCCTGGAGCTGATGAGGACTGATGCTTGGAGGGAAATTGGGGCCCCAAGCAGTGCCTGTGTGCTTATATGTGTGAAGGAAGAGGCTGAGAGGTAAGCAAGGACACAAAGTTCAGAGCTCTAAAGGTGTCCTGGAATTGGGTAGTGGGATTTGAAAAATCAACAAAGTAGCAGTCCCTCTGCTGAGCTTAAAAGCTGCCAGTTCATATGGAGAGACCCTTAAAGACACGATCAAGTCCTTCTCTTCAGGACACTTGCCACATGATGGCTTCTCCCCTTTAAAAAAAAAAATCAAGAAGTCAGTTAGTCATAACAGGCATCCCCTCCTCCCCCTTTCTGAAAGCCACGGGCTTGTGTAGGAGACGGGAAGGGTCATCCTGGGCACCCGGGAGGTGATCCAGGCTGCCTGACCCGAGGGGATCTGTCAGTTCACCCTTTAGCACAGTCTCCTGTGAGATGAGCGCTCCTCTCACGGTGAGTTAACGCCGGATTAGATTCGGAGATTTCAAGGAAATTCCAAGTGGAACGAATCCTGTTTCCCTTCTGCGGGCTGCAGAGCTGGGCCAGAGCAAGGCGCCAGGCTTTGGCGGCATCCAGTGGGGTGCCCAGATCTGGTCCCCACGGGCGGCAGGTCAGGGAGTTGCTCCCGGACTGGGAGTTTACCCCCAAGCCAGGTTCCTCGAAAACAGTCCAGGATCCTGCTCACCCAGCGCTGAGTCCCCTGTTTAACAAAGGCAGCATAGACCCGGCTGGAGAGAAGGCAAGCTTCCCTGGCGAAAATGTCGGTTTCTGCCCCGGAGGGTGGAGTGTCCTGGTAAGCAGGGAAATGCTGATCTAAGCCTCCCGGGCTGGTTGCGGGCAGGTCAGTTTCTCTTTGTGTCAATTTTCCAAATGCAGGGTAATCCACCAAAGCAGTAGGGAGATTTGCGCAGAGAAGCCGCTTTCACCGGTCCTACCCCAAACGATTCCTCACCATTTGGGGCCTGTGCCAAAACGGTTTCCAGTCTTTGGTGACCCCAGCGCCCCCCTCTCCCCCCAGCAGCTGTCGCCTGGGCAGACTTGAGCCGTGCTCGGGGAGGATCTGTTCTCTCAGAGCAAGCGAGAAAACAAACGAGTTGGGGTCAATATTCTGTGAGGGGTGTAAGCCTTTAGCTCAGCCAAAGAGCGAATGGGGGACAAATGGGGAGGGCTGACCCCTGCACGTCTCTCCTCACCATTCAGAATCCACAGACCCTCACTTCCTGAACTGCGTAGACACCAGAGCCCCAGGGGTTGCTGGACGCTTGGGGAGATAGAATCAGAACCAGTGGTGTCCTGGCAGTGCATAAGGGTGGAGAAGGTGGTTCCTTCCAGATACCCGTTAGCCAACTGAAAATGCCTGTCTCTGTACCTCCTTGTCCCGGCCTTCATCTGCTCATCTGCTCGTTCCTCGAGAAGTGCTCCCTCCTCCTGTTTTCAATCTTCTTGGCAGCATGGTGGGGGCTGGGCCCCAACCAGGCTAGCTTTCAGAGCTGGCTTCTCTGGAAGTGTCCTTGGTCTGATGCCTAAAGCCGTTTGCTTGTACAATGTAGGCCCACCTTGGGCCCCAGTTTGTTGGCGATTGTCGAGGTGTACAAGTAGATCCTGAGAGGTTGCTGGTGTAGCAGGGGCTCAGACCAAGTCCCACTTCCTTGTCTTCCTGCCTGGCCCTGGTCAGTTTCTTTCTGGGGGGCCCCCACCCCATTTGGAGCAAGACAGCTTCTGTGGAGAGGTGGTATTGGGGGAGGGGAAGGGACTGCCGGCAAACTGGCTTTTGTGTTTTCTTGCTCTTACTCCCTATTCTAGATTCATCATTTTCATCTGTACAGTGGCCTTCCATCACCCCTGCCTAGATGTTTCCTTCCCCCAGGTATTTTTCCAGTTATAAAGCGCTTTTACGGCCAGCCTCCTACCTGAGTGTCATCTGAACCTCAGCTAAACCCATTGTACAGAGTATGATATTGAAGTCAGAGAGACAAAAAGGCGGACAGGAAGGTTGCCTGGGCAAAGCTGGAGCTGGTTTTGGGTCTCCTAGGATTTACAGAAGGGGAGAGGGCGGGACTCAAGATTCCAGAGAGAGGGCAGTGGACTGTTTGAGTGAGTATACACATGTGCAAGGCATTTTCTCTGGTTTAACTAGATCGGCCCCGAAGACCCGACTGTCTATCTGTGTCAGCGCCCGTCTGTTGGTTTGAGCCCTTCAAGGAGATTTCATCCCTCCTCTTTCCCCGTGTCCTTGTTTGCATGTCTGTGTGTCCCTTCAGTTTCTCCTCTCCAATGTCACAAGGAGGAATTTCAATAACCCTGTGGGGTTTTGGAGTTGGGTCTTCCTGCTGAGTTAGCAGAGACCATCTTCCCACAACCCTTTACCTAGCCATGGTCTCTGGGGTTTGGATAGGACCCCTGGTAGGTAGTACATCCTTGTCAGGGCCTAAGGAGCTTCCATGCAGGCCAGCCCTCAGAAACCAGAGCCACAAAGGCCTTGGGTGTATCTTCAAGCCTTTCCCCCCAGTCCTCCTCCAAACCCTGCGTGGCTTGTCCTGTGGGGGCAGGCCTGTGTTTCCCTTGTATCTGTGTGTCTGTTTCCTGGTCTTTGCCTTGATTTGTTTGTATCTGTCTCTGTGTCAGGCTCTCTGAAAATTCTACTTGTCCCTGAGAAGTGTAGCTGGGAACATGCACCCCTCAGGGGATGAAACCTCATGCAGCAGGAGTCCATAGGAAGTAGAGGCTGGGACTTGGGTTCTCTGAGGATATGCAGGACTGGAGCAGGGGTCCCAGAAAACAAAGACTCTTCTCCACAGAAGTCCTCTGTTTTCCAGATGCCCCTTTACTGGGCTTCCTCCATTTTCTCTTCTGGTCTTCTTGCCTCCCACTGTACACCACACTCACCTTTCTTTCCTTTGCTGGTACTAGCTGATCTATTCCTTTCTCTCCTCCTCTGCCTTTCTAACCTGAGACTTCCCTTCCTCGCTCTCTGTCCTTGCTGTCTGTTTCATTTAGTTTCCATGCTTTGCATCCTTCCCCTCACTTTTCCTCTTTTCTTTCCCCATCCTGCCTCCCTCTCTCTCAGGCTTCAGGTTTTTCTTCTTTCCAATCTCGGGATAAGTGGGAGACATTGCCTTCTCGGACCAGGTAAATGACCTCCCCACCACCCTTGAAATGCTCTATTGGCTAGGACTGTGACTGAGGCAGAGAAGACCTAGCCAAGTGAGTTTGGGAGCCTTTCTGGGAAGTTGAGGGGGATAGGTCGCTCCCAGGTCATCCTGAGTCTAGTGTAAGCTCTGTGCTTATATGGATCAGACTCTGGAAGAACATAGGTAGCCTTGTCTTTGTGGTCAAAAGTAGAGGGTTTGGGACCTGCTGTCAGTTAGAGTGTCCAACCCTTGGGATTTTTTTCCATGTTGCAAAAGTTCCCAAAAGCTCACAAATGTCCTGGAGGACTGCTCGTGGAATTTAAGTCCTCTGAAGGTTGTCATTGCGTTTTGGGCAGAAAGTTCAAATTGCCAGGGGCATAGGGAACAAGCAATTGCAAATGGGTCTCAAGGCCTGGACTAATAGGTTATCTCAAAAGTGTGCTGGACGCTTTTAGCTTCTTTTCTGTCCTCAGATGAGCTTGTACAAATTCTGAATTTACTTTCTTCAATCCAGCCTGTTCTCTGAAGATCTGTGCAATCTTTTTTTATCAGGTGCTCCCAACCCCAGAACAAAGACTTTCTAAGGCCCTTGACCAGGGGTGGCTGTAATCTTTCTGTTTTAGGTGAACTATACAGTTTTGTTTCTAACTGCGAATTCCTGTTTGGGATGGTTTTCCTTTTTCTTATGTCTGGGGTGTTTCAGAACGATCAAAGCCAATTAAAGCTCATTTTGAAAATCAAGAATTTCAGCTAAGAATTGGAATTAAGTACCGTCGTTACCTATAAAATTGTGTTTTTCCTTGAAATCAGCCTGAGCTCGGAAATTCTGGGAAATATTCAGTTAGGAACCTCTTGGAAAACGGCAGTGAATTGCTTTGGCAGTTTTAAGGAAATAGGTTATATTATGGGTGTTTCCCCCCACCTTTTTTTCAGATGTTCATAAACGTAGATAGATATTGAGTGTTGAGGGGGCATAGCTAAGATGAGAAGGCTATTTTGTTTTAGAATTGGAGCGTGTGTATGTGTATGTATGCGTGCGCGCGCGTGCGCGCACACGTGAGTGAGAGAGAGATGTCTGAGTTGCCTAGCTTCCCTGGTATAGTCTAATCCCAGGCAAGTTCCAGTTTAGATGGAGCTTTCCCCATCGGTGGCCTCTGAGCTACCAGCAGCATTGGTAAATAAATGCTTGGACTTGGATTTTGGCTTTTGACTGTCCTCAGCAATGTCAGTTAATGGCTGATTAACAGCTACAAGGTCAATGATGTTGCTATACTGGGTCACTCTGTGTTTACTGGTTCTGCTCTTCATTTACTTGGATCCCTGTTTCCCTCCAGATGGACTTTGATATAAGAGAAGGGAGCTTATTGGGTGGAGAAGATACTTTCCCAGACTCCTTTGGCTTAAAATCCATCTCAGAGCGCTTGTAAAACCTGGAACTCGGAAGCTTTCTCCAGCTTCTTTATCCCCACCCCCCCTCCAAATCAACTTGAAGCTGCTTGTCAATTGCAAAAACACTTCAGAATTTCCAGGGAAACTCTTTATAACAAATCCTGGTGTGGTAGAGTGGAATGTGATCCTCTGACCCATTTCTTTTGTGTGCTCTGGGAGGGTACAGTGGTCAAGTCTGCGTGTTAGCCTCCCCTTTTTTGTTTATTTTTCCCCTTTATTGAGGGATGAGCTCCATCTTTTTAAAGAAAAGGGTTTTTGTTTGTTTGTTTGTTTGTTTGTGATCAAGGCAGTGGTTGGATTTTGTTTCAGTACTCTGTAGACATTATTTAAACAAAAATTTTTAAGTCCTTAGCCCTTGAATCAGATTGCTGATTAAAAAAAATTTTTTTTTCCATGTGAGATCTAGTTTATTGGAGTAGTCCTTTTCACTTTTACAGATATTTGTTAAAAGGAAAAGAGTTTTGTTTTTAAAAATCTCTTTACAGTTGATGGATTTTAAAACTTATTTTCTCCCCAGGATCTTCCTTAGATCTTAGCATCGTGCATGTAGTAAGTTATGTTTCTAGTGTAGATTGGGGTCTTTTACATACTCAATTGTTAACAAAAAATTAAAGGTGCAACTAAAGGAAATTACAATTTAGCAACTAAAGGAAATATAGTATGGGGATGTTTGTTATCAATAGCCCGACTGACTGGCTGAAGATGGACAAAGGCAAAGGTTAATTTTAAAAAGCAAGGTGCTCTTGAAGCCTGCACGATCAGACTCCAGGCTCAAGATAGGCAGCCTGCGGCCATTTCTGATCAGAGAGGCTCTGGGTGCTTGTTAACAGAGCTTCTAGTACTACTATGTGACTGATTCTAACCACCCCTTCCCTCGCCTTTTGTTTCTGATCTGTTTCAGGACATGGAGGAGTGAATCAGCTTGGGGGGGTTTTTGTGAATGGACGGCCACTCCCGGATGTAGTCCGCCAAAGGATAGTGGAACTCGCTCATCAAGGTGTCAGGCCCTGTGACATCTCAAGGCAGCTTCGAGTCAGCCATGGTTGTGTCAGCAAAATTCTCGGCAGGTAAAAGCAGAAGCTGCAGGCTTCCCTTGATTTTTTTCAATAATGACCTAAAACATGACCCAGCAGCTGTCCAATGTGCCCACGTCGTATTGAAAATCATGGTAGCACTTCGCTAACATGCCTAATACTTTAGAGTTTGCAAAGCCCTTTCAAGGCTATTCAAGTCAAAGGAGCCCCGGGAAACCCCCATTTCGAGTGCCTCGTGGAATCGGGTGACTCAATCAGGAAGAATGACATGTTTTCTGAAAGCCTGGTGAATTATTCCAAAGGACCCACGAAGAAGAGGTTCTTGGGAATTTCCCTTGCACATCTTGGGTGAGCCCGGGGCCTGAGCAGGGCTGGGTGGAAAATCCACAAGTTATAAAATCGCATTATCAATATTTTATTTGAACGTTTTCAAAAAGCGCATTCCATTTTTAAAAGCCAGCTGTTATTTTCAGTGTTGGGGTATCATCAACCTCCTTACATTGGGCTGTAGTATTTTCCTCCTATACGTTTTGTTTCCTTCACAGTGACACGCATCCTAAGTGTTATTAGAGCGGGGGAAAAAACCCACCAAACACACGGTAACTCTCGAAGCTGACATTTCCAAGTTGCCACTTGACCTGTCGATTTGCTGCCAGCAAAATACCAACAATGCCAATTCTCCCAGAGGGCTAGATAGCCCAGCTTTTGAGCATGCCTGTTTATTTTCTTGGGAGAGCCTCAGTGTGATCCAGGGAAGCATGTTTTAAGAGGAGGAAACAAATCTACAGAGGGCAGGTGACTGACCCTAGTCCACCCAGCCAGTCAGTCCTCTCAGATTGGGAGGAGGCCTCAAGGACCCTTAGACCATCGGCATCTCAGCACACCCGAAAGCCAAAGCCGCAGGTTTTTTTCTGGGCATGTGAAGTTGCTAGAGGTCTGCCCTGGCAGCCGGAGTATTCTCAGGTCCAGCTGTTCAATGTTCTCTCAGGATTTTCCTCCCAGGGTCAGAAAGCAACTTTGGTCCTATAGTTTGCATTATGATTTGAGAACAGTTGCCTGAATAGAAAATAAATATTTTGAAGTCTGTCAGTGACATTGTGGTTTTCTGCATGCTCTCTTCCTTTCATCTGCTGGAATTTAAGACATATTCTTAGATGGAAGGAAAAGCAGTTTCTAACCTTGGGGAGCCTTGCTGGAGGCCAAGGGAAGAAGTTTCAAGGCCAGGGGTCTGGGATCCCCTTTGGGGACTTTGATCCTTGCGTTTGTTTCTTATTCCCTGCCCACCCCAGGTCATCTCACAACCACATCTGGGCTCCACTCGTGTTTAGCACTCAGGAGCAAATGAGCCCCAGCCAGAGTTCAAGGAGGAAGGCTGGACATCAGCCTGGTGCTTTTGTTAGATGGTGGTTGTAGGCAGGAGGATGAGAGTGAAAATAAGAGAAGAAAAATTGAGGAGAGGGAAATGAAAAGAGAATGATTGATTTTAAAACAGAGAATAGAATAGAGCAATGAAGACAAGACAGAAGGAGAGAAAGAGAGAGAGAGAGGAAAGAAATATTTTAGACTATCTCAGTGTCAGACTTTGAGAGCCAAGTGGGTCTTAGCTATCTTCTTGGGAAGCCTCTTCATTGCACAGAGGGAGAGAGAGCAAAAAGAGGGCCCTTCCTTTGTTTTTGCTGAGACATCGTTGCTGAGCCGACATCTTGCTCGCTGTTTGAAATCTTCTCAGGGTGAGACACCAAGCCCTTCTCAGAGGGGACGTCTAGATGCTGGGTCGTCATGTTCTGGTGCCCGGGAGCCCTCCAGACCGCCCCTGGAGACTGAAGGGGACAAGGACCCTCCCCGGCCCAGCGGGCAGCCTCCGGAGGCCCAGAATAGATTTGTCACTAGGTAGAGTGGCACTCGGAAGTTATGCGCCGCTCGGGTGCCTGGCCGTTTAAGTTGTCAACAATAAATTGGAATTTCATAGCTCATTATTTTCATAACTAAGAACCACAGTGGACAAAATGTCACTCTAATTAGAACTGCCTTTTAAGAAACAAGTTCAGCCCTAAAACAGTGTGACTGGGAATTTCTGAACTGGGGCTGTTCCATCCACTGACTTTTTTTTTTTTTTTTTTTTTTTGGTCACCGAAGAATTTGATGGGCGCACTTGGAGTGACAGATTATAGAGAGTGTGTTGTGTGTGGCGGTTGTGGTTTTCAGAGGCTGTATGACAAGGCAGTCAGAGTCCCTGGGGCAGAGACCCCCATCATCTTGGGAAGGTGGCGGTTTGCCAGGAGTGTGGGCATTCAGTCCACAGAGCTCGAGGCTAGGAGGGGCTCGAGAGGCACAGCCTGGTGGCATGTGAGGCCCATTTAAATCCACCCAGAAAGCCTGGCTCTTGTCTTCTTTCACTGGAGCCTGGCTGGGAGGTTCAGACCATTTGGAACTGGGTGGTATGTTACACAGTAATAAACACGCAGAGGATTTTAATCCGCAACACGTGCTCTTTATGTTTTGCAAAGCTTTCTCTTACTCATTCTGCGTTTCTGCCTTTCTCCTCTGAGGCAGGCTGGGCAGACATCCTCCTCTTATTATACAAATGGGGCAACAGAGGCCCAGAGAGGCTAAGCAATTTGGCCAAGGTCACACAGCTTCATAGAGCCCGGGGGGACACGCCCACCTCTTTACTCCCAAACTAGCGTTCCTCTTGTTGGCGGCTGCCGTCTGTCGGTGGCGTGTAAGCCAAAAGGCTGCGTGAAGGTTACGCTGATAGGGAAGAGCAGTTCTTCATGGGAGTCCTCACTTTACACAGTTGCCAACTGGGGTCTCCCCTGGGGTCTCAGGGTGGCCTTCTAAGGGCCTGGCTGATGGGTCAGGCAAAAGGGAGACCTCGGTCTGCAGTGGGTGGTGGTGCTTAGGTGAGATGGGCCAAGAGCCCCGGGTGCGACCACCCTCCCTGCCAGATGGAGACAAGCCGGACAGGAGCTGGGGGAGGGGCAGCTCCCTCCCGCTGCGCTCTCAGCAGCTTCGGGAGCACCGCGGGCTCCTTCCCCTAGTATGTTGTGAGTACTCAGCCCCGGGCTGTCTGTGTATCTGTAAGCTCTGCCCCAAGACTGCCTGTAACAGGCACTCCGCGGCCAGTGAGTGAGGGCAAAGCTGCATGTGAACTGCCTGGTAAAGGGGAAAGTTTTCTGCAGGTGGGAGGGTTCATCATTATTGTTCCCACTTCACAATCAGAGCAGACGTGTGCTCTAGTGGGAAGAAGACTGGCTTCAGAGTCACATCTGAGAGCTGGGACTGGCTCTGACTTCCAGAAGTTGGGCAAGGGGCTCACTCTTCTAATCCTGTTTCCCCTTCCATAAAACCCTGCTGGCCTCTTAGGATTGTTGGGAGGGTGGGGAAGATTTGAGGAAGAGCTCTGTAACCTTTAGAGCACTGTGCATGGGTAAGGAGTTACTCTGTTGATAGTAAGAAACGACTCTTTATTGTAAAGTTAGAAGGAAACTTGAAAGCCGCAGAGACGCCTGTGTGCCTTGAAACTGCTGGCAAAATAGCATTTTCTTGGATAGTTCTTAAAGCCTGTTTGCGACTAGTTACAATTTTTCAGAAATTACAGAAAGAGGGAGGAAAGATTGAGTTTTCCCCTATGGTCCGTGTTTGTACATGACTCGCTCTTCTCAATGAAAAACAGAATTTCCATTTCTGTATCACTGTTCCCAAAATTATTTCATTTATTTCTAGAATATCTATTAACTTGGCCCTAACTAGATTTACCCAGGCTGAGAATTTTAGCATCTCTTTATTTATTTATTTTTTCAAGATTTTATTTATTTATCTGACAGAGAGAGAGACACAGGGAGAGAGGGAACACAAGCAGGGGGAATGGGAGAGGGAGAAGCAGGCTTCCCACTGAGCAGGGACCCTAGGATCCCAGATCATGACCTGAGGTGAAGGCAGATGCTTAACAACTGAGCCACCCAGGCTCCCCTTCAGCATCTCTTTAAATGTAACTAGTCCTTGCTCTTGGGTAACACTTCCCATCCGTCCCATAGGAGAATAACCTCTTCCCCTTATCTATCATAAACTCTTGGTAGGTTGAAAAATCACAAGTCATGGGGGCACCTGGCTGGCTCTGTTGGTGGAGTGTGTGACTCTTGATCTCGGGGTTGTGAGTCCTGGTCTCATGTTGGATGCAGGGTTTACTAAAAAAAAAAAATAAATAAATAATAAAAATTACCAGTCATTTCTAAAATGTTTTCTTGGCTAAAAATATTCTCAACTGCAAGATAATCTCCTTTGCAAGAGAAGTCAAGAATTCCTCTGTAAATGTTGAGAAACATCCAGTAAAGGCTCAGATTCAGAAAAGGAATCAAGTAATTTTTTTTTCCCTGAAATGATCTTTCACGGCACTCTTCTCCCCGGTCTTGGTTTTAGTGTAAAACCCTGACATCCTATTTATGTTAACGAGGAAGAGCTGATAGCATGGAAATGTCCTTAGAAACAGCGATTTACCTCAGGGGAGGTCCCTGGAAGAAGCTGCAGTGACTTGTGGTTGGCTTTTTTTTGATTGCTTGGGTTTTGACTTCTATATAACACATATTTTCAGTTAATTCTGGAATCCAGCCTTCCTTTTAATTTGACACCAGGGTTATCATTTTAATCTCAGGGAAAAAAAAAAAGAAGTTACATTTTAGGGGACAGTTTCACAGAATGCAGATGGAATCTGCTAGGGGATATGAGTGCTGGTCAGTTAAAGGCACAGGCCAACTTCCTGGAGAAATTTTAGCTCAGGAGGCTGGGCTTCCGTCCTGGTTTGGCCAGTGGGTCTTGCGTGATCCTGGACAAACCATTTAGCCTCTATGAATCTCTGTTTTATACCTATCAACGAGGAACCATTTATTCATTCTTCATTCATTTGTTCAAAATATTTATGTGCTTTAGAACTGTTGTGGAGATCAGGGATGCCTGGGTGGCTCAGTTGGTTAAGCTGCTGCCTTGGCTCAGGTCATGATCCCAGGGACCGGGGATTGAGTCCCGCATTGGGCTCCTTGCTCGGCAGGGAGCCCGCTTCTCTCTCTGCCTCTGCCTGCCACTCTGCCTGCTTGTGTGCTCTCTCTCTCTCTCTGACAAATAAATAAAATCTTTGGGAAAAAAAAAAAAAGAGAACTCTTGTGGAGATCAAATAGGAAAGCTGACTTGAAAGTTTTCTGTAAATCGTAAAATGGTAGATAAATGTGATAGAGTTAATTAACTAATTAATGCATGGCATCTGGAGTAGCCCTGTCCAACAGAAACAGAATGTGAGCCACGCTTGAAATTTAAAATTTTCTGGTAGTATATTAAAAAAGGGAAAAATAAACAGGTACAATTAATTTTACATAGTTTGCTTAGCCCAGTATATGAACAATGTGATCGATCACTTCAGCATATGACCAATATAAAAACTATTAATGAGGTATTTTATGTTCTTTTTTTTAAAAGATTTTATTAATTTATTTGACACGGAGAGAAAGATCACAAGTAGGCAGAGAGGCAGGCAGAGAGGGAGGGGGAAGCAGGTTCCCTGCTGAGCAGAGAGCCCCATGTAGGGCTCGATCCCAGGACCCTGAGACCATGACCTGAGCTGAAGGCAGAGGCTTAACCCACTGAGCCACCCAGGCGCCCCTGTTCTTTTTTTTTCTACTAAGTTTTGACAGTCTGGTGTGTATTTCACACTTATAGTACACCTCAATTCAAATGAGTCATATTTCAGATGTTTAAAAGCTCTGTATGGCTAGAGGCTGGTGAACTGCACAGCACAGAGCCAGATGCTTCCAGGACAGAGTAACTATTTTGTTGTAAACATCATTTTGCTGGTTCCTCATGGCTAAGCTCCTTTCTCCTTGGGTCCTAGGTATTATGAGACGGGGAGCATCAAGCCTGGAGTAATTGGAGGATCCAAACCAAAGGTCGCCACGCCCAAAGTGGTGGAAAAAATCGCTGAGTATAAACGCCAAAATCCCACCATGTTTGCCTGGGAGATCAGGGACCGGCTGCTGGCGGAACGGGTGTGTGACAATGACACGGTGCCCAGTGTCAGTTCCATCAACAGGTGAGAGGCTGTTGCCGGTGGGGGGCTAGGGATCTGGGTGGAGTGGGGCATCCTGGAGGCTCTGCGGGTACCTTTCCTAGGGATCTGGTCTCTCCATTCATCAAGGCCCCTTAGGGGTTATCAGACAGGAGGAGTGGGCTCGTGGGCCTCTGTAGACCTCTCTATCACCTTTCTTGTCTTTCCAAAGTGGGCAGGAGTTCTAGGCCCAGGGAGGGAAGGCCATGTCAGTACCCAATCTGCTTGAGATTCTTCTGAGCCCAGAGTGCTTTTTATCACTCCCTTTCCCACCTGCCTCTGTGTGTGGAGCACTTAGCAGGGAATTGTCCTGATCAGGCCCCCAAAATGTCACTTTATTTGTAAGCCCATGCTCAAAGTCTTAGCACTGGCCTATATCAGAGCTTCCCAGGAAGAAAATCCCTGCCTTCATTTTGGGCAGAGGTTGAGCCACTGAGTGTGGAAAACAGAGCCTGGACTTGAGGTTGGGGTATTTAGTTTATTTAGTTCCTGGTCCCAGCTCTGTCTGAAGCTCCAAGTGTGACTCTGACAAAGCTCTTCCTGTCTCTGAGAGCTCCAGACCTTGGAGATTCTGATGTGGGTCTGTGATATCCAAGAGTGACATCCAGGACACTAAGATACTATGGAGTTGGGGGGCTGCCCTCTACCCAGTTCCGCTCAATCTCACCCACGGAGAGAAAGAACCAGAGAAATGCCATGGGTACCAGGCCTGGGATTCTCCCAGGAGCCACGGAGTCACCTTCTTCTCTGTAGTCTGACCCTGGAGGTATCTGACGGAGCTCTCAAAGCTTTAACAAGTCCTGAAAGAAAGTGTTCTATTGTAGATGGTGCAGTCTCAGCTCTATCTAAACCCACAGAAGTCAAGGATGAAATTACGAGATAAACTGCAATGACCGTTGTCTAAACTCCACAAAGAAAAGAGAAGCCAGCAGGGTGAAAACTAGACCAGTTCCCATTTCTCCAAAGTCACACCTGACCCTTGTCAGTGCAGAGCCTGTGTGGGCATAAGAGACCCCTCACACCCGGTAGAAAGAGGTGATTAGACTACAATGTCTCAGAGATCTCTTCTGGGCCTGCTGGGTGTTCCTTCTGGGATGACTTAAATGTGTAGAATCACTGTGTGAGTGTCTGTATTGCTGGGTTGGTTTATTTTTTTCAAGCAAATTTTTAATGCCCTTTTAAAAGATTTTATTTATTTGACACAAAGAGGGAGAAAGAGAGCACAAGCATGGGGAGCAACAGGCAGAGGGAAAAGGAGAAGCAGGCTCCCTGCTGAGCAGGGAGCCCAGTGCAGGACTTGGTCCCAGGACCCTGGCATCACGACCTGAGCCGAAGGCAGAGCCTTAACCGACTGAACCACCCAGGCGCCCCATGTGTTGATGTTCCGAGTCCTGCCATTTTATTACCATTAGCCTGTTTTCTTTCTCTCAGCAAATCTTTACCTTGGCTCTGACATCAAAGTGCTGAGATGAAAGAGGGAAATCGGGCACATTGTCTCTTAGTCTCTAGAAGGCCTCCTTGTCTAGGGTGGGATTCTGGTGTGTAGTAGAAGTCTGACCAGCCCAAATTAGCTGAGGAGATAGCAAAGATTGTGGTGGGTTTGGAGGAGGGGATACTCCTGTTGTTTTTCTGGATTATGAGGGACTCCAGTGTGCTTTGTGAGTCCTCTGCCTCTGGCTTTATTGTAGGATTTCCACCACGCAAAGCAATGTGTCTTTTCCCCCACGTCTCCAAAAGCCCTAACGTAGAGTGAGGCATGTGATGCCTAGAAGCAGGGAAGCAGCAGAAGCCTGCTCTGCAGAGAAACTTCTGTCAAACCCATGGTCAGGCTTTGAGGGCCTACGGAGTTCCCAGTGTAGGGTGTGACTGTAATTGGTGGTTTGAAAGAGAACTTTAGGTTGCACGTGGGAGTCCCAAACTCTAATGCCTGTGGTGGCCAGGAAGTGATGGAACCCGTGAAGTGGGGTGGCTGTGAGGTGATAGGGAGAGGCTGGAGCTGGGACAGACAGACAGCACGGCAGAACTGAAGGGCCACGTGGTCCTCAGCATTGGCCGAATGCTGCCAGGAAGGCAGGCCCAGGGTTTGCCAGACTCCTTCCACTCTTAAAGTTGCCTGCTGGTTGCTTGTGGCTGGGGTCGTGGCTGGCCTCAGGGGCCTCGGCTGGCCTCAGCGGCCTCCTGGGTGTCCGCCATGGTGGCGGTGCCTCTGAGGTATTTTCACGCCTGTGGTCTCCGTTAGCCCTAGAGGCTTATCTCGGTTCTGTGGCAGATAAAGATTCTGAGGCCCAGAAGGGGAGTACAGTGATGATTTTAAAAAAATCATTTTTTAATAAAAAATTAAAAAAAATTAGTACAATGATGCTTTTTAAAAATTTTTAAAACTTTTAAAAAAGATTTTTATTTATTTATTTGACAGATCACAAGTAGGCAGAGAGGCAGGGAGAGAGAGAGGAGGAAGAGAGCAGAGAGCCCAGGGCTGGATCCCATAACCCTGGGATCATGACCTGAGCCAAGGCAGAGGCTTTAACCCACTGAGCCACCCAGGCGCCCCAGGAGTGATGATTTTGAGGTAGATCTGGGAGTCGAACCCAGGAGGGCCTCTCTCATGGCACTGCCCTGTAGGACTCTGCCAGGGACAGGACTGAGGATCTGAGAGAAGAGAATCAAGGGGGAGTAAAACAGTCATTCCCACTCCATCTCTGTGCACTTTGCTGCCTGTCTGCAGCTCCCTCGGGGACCCGAAACCCTTTCCTGTGTACCCCTCCGGGGGCTCTTGTCTGGGAGCGCATTCTGGCTCCTTACTCCATTCTTTACCCAGAGTTCTTTGTGGTCTTTAGCCAACCAACCCAGCGATGCGGATAGAAGAGGTGTGGGACACTGTCTGTTGCTGCCCGCCCTCCCCCCTCCAGCCCAGGAAGCCCCAGCCATCCCAGCAGTTTTATTCTCCATATGAAGGCAAAGCTGCTAAGCTGTGTTCAAACGGATGGATGCAGTTCGAAAGGACCATCTTGCAAATGTCCACAGATTCCTCTCCCAGCCCCTGCCTTTGTTGGAGGCAACTTCTCACGATTCCCCTATTTTAACAGCTAACGAGGGAGCAGTGGCTGGATTGGTAGCTATTCTGGTGGCCGCAGTGTCATCTCCACTGTCCTCCCCGACAAGTGTATGCCTTCCTGCTGTCTCCTGGGAGACCAGCCCGGGGAACCCATGACTGACGTGGAGTTCAGTGCCACAGCACCTGTTATGCTGAGTGTGTGGGTGATTTCCTGGGACATGAGACATCACATTTATATCGCTTCCTAAGGACAAGTTAGCGCTGGGATGCTGCCCCAAGGATCTTTAGATTCCAGCCTGAGTGTCCGTTGGAGGTGACTGTCGGAGAGCTGGCAGAGACAGGTGGAATGGAGCCCGCCTTCTGTTTGAGGCCCGTGGCTCTAAGTCAGTGGCCAAGTGGTGGGCACTGTGCATGGCGTTCCCAGCTATAAGGACAGTTCTCTTTTGTTGTCTCTCTTTAGACAGTTCTCTTTAACCTATTTAACCAACAGTTGGTTGTGGTCATGTGAGAACGTGGGATCAGCATGGCTAGGTGTTCGGATTTTTCAAGGGAAGCTATAGATCCACGTATCTATGTAAAAGCTCCCACCTAGCAAATTTTTTTTTTTAAAGATTTTATTTCTCTAGTTGACAGAGATACAGTGAGAGAGGGAACACAGCAGAGGGAGTGAGAGAGGGAGAATCAGGCTCCCCATGGAGCAGGGAGCCCAAGATGGGGCTCGATCCCAGGACCCTGGGATCATGACCTGAGCCGAAGGCAGACGCTTAACGACTGAACCACCCAGGTGCCCCCCACCTTGCAAATGTTGGCAACTAATTCAAATAAAAACAAATAATCGTGCAGCTAAACAAAGCTTGTTCAGGGACTGATGTGGCCTGAGGGAGCTAGTCTGTGAACTCTGCTCTTCCTCTGAACTTGGGCAGCAAGGCTTCTGAGATTGTTTACCCATTCCCTCTTTCTTCTCCACTTTGGTTGCTGGCCTGGGTGTCTCCTGTGGGGCCGCTCCCAGCATGGCCCAGTTGGACCCTTGGTTGTGGATTCTTAGCACAACCGATGGCCCAGGATTCTTCCTGTCCAATGGTGGTTTCATTAGTGCCGTAGATGTGGAATCTCCATAGCTCTGTCTTCCTATTTCCTTTCTAAAGGTGCATGATTTCCTGATTTTCTCTTTCAGTGTAATTATGTATGGGGGGGATGGGGGATGTGTCTGAGAAGACCTGCCTTTCAGAGAAGTGAGGGTGATGTTGAAATCGATCCTTACAAGTGCCTGTAATACCCAAAGTCCCTGGGACATTAGTCCTTCATCTTCTAAATGGATTTGGAATCCACATAGGCTTTACGTCTCCTATAGGAAATATTTAGCAGAGGGACCGCTTCCTCTTTTTTTCTTTCTTTGTGGTCCAAATAAAAGTTCTCAGGGATGGGGCCTGGAAGTCTGGCTGAAAGTCTGACCGGCTGTGTGACCCTGGGCAAGTCACTTGAGCACTCTGGGCTTTGGTTTCCCAGTTTGGAGGAACTGGCTGACTGCCGGACTCTTCCCTGTTGGACCATCTAGGATGTTCACATGGCACCCAGGGTCGTGCTCATGCACAGCAAAGTAGAGGATAGACCTTTTACTGTTATGTGCCAGTTAGCCAGACTGTCTGTGATTTAGAAAAAGTCCAGAGTGTGACTCTTATTGTGATGAGTCTTGATGATCGCTTGTTAATTTTTTTTTAAAGATTTTATTTATTTATTTGACAGAGAGAGATCACAAGTAGGCAGAGAGGCAGGCAGAGAGAGAGGGAAGCAGGCTCCCTGCTGAGCAGAGAGCCTGATGCGGGACTCGATCCTAGGACCCTGAGATCATGACCTGAGCCAAAGGCAATGGCTTAACCCGCTGAGCCACCCAGGCGCCCAATCGCTTGTTAATTTTTAAAAAAATTTTTTTTGTTAATTTTTGGGTCACCTAGGTGGCTCAGTGGGTTAGGCTCTGCCTTCGGCTTGGGTTGTGATCCCGGGGTCCTGGGATGGAGCCCTGCATGGGGCTCTCTTCTCGGCGGGGAGCCTGCTTCCCCCTCTCTCTGCCTGACTCTCTGCCTACTTGTGATTTCTGCCTGTCAAATAAATAAATAAAATCTTAAAAAAAGGTTTTTTTTTGTTAATTTTTAATTTTTAAAGAATTGCTATGAATCAATTAGTCTTATTATTTCCACTGCCATTTCTTCACATGGAAGATAATGCTCTTTGTTCTTTTTTCTTTCTTTCTTTTTTTTTTTTTTTGGCATCTGCTGCAAGCAGATGGACAAAATCTCTATCTTTGGGGACAGCTTTGGAGGGTTCCCTATACTCTGGTCTCGCTTATGGAGGACGACCCCACTACAGTCTTAAAAACAGGGTGTGGGGATAGCATCGATCTCCTGCCCCACTCCCAGGGGGATCCCATGTGTTTTTAAGGCATTTGTGGAAAATACGGACCTTTTAAGGTTGAAGCTAGTCTTTAGTTGTTATGAAGATACTACTGAAAATAATAGCTAGCATTTATAGAGAATTTACTATGTAGTAGATGCTCTTCTAAATAATTAATTAGTTAAATTATCATAATAACTCAATGAGGTGGGAATGATTCTTAGTCCCACTTTGCAGGTGAAGAAACTGAGATGCAGAGACGTTAAGTAATTTACTCTAGGACATGCAGCTGGCAAGTTGGAAAACTGGGATTCGAACACTAGTAGTCTGATTCTGGAGCCTGTGTGTGTGTATGTATGTATGTATTTATATAATTTTTCATTTTTTTAAAAGATTTTATTTATTTATTTGACAGAGAGAGAGAGCAGGAGAGCACAGGCAGGGGGAGCGGCATAGGGAGAGGGAGAAGCAGGTCCCCCCACTGCTGAGCAGGAAGCCCGAAGTGGGGCTTGATCCCAGGATCCTGGGATCATGACCCGAGCAAAGGCAGTCCCTTAACTACCACTTAACTGACGGAGCCACCCAGGCATCCTGCAGAGCCTGTGTATTTAATTAATAGCTGCAGCTGCCTCTCAGTGATTTATAACAATTGATAATGTCTTACCAAATGATTTATAAACACATTGAAAGAAAAATAAGGAAAATAAAATTTTCTTCACTTAAATTTAATGGCCAGACAATTCTTTGAAAAGTTAGGACTTTTCCAGTCCAGTTAGGACTGGAAGTAATGGGAAATAGTTTTGAAATAAGTCACCATATTTTTGTACATATATAAACCATAGCATGGATAAACTACATTTACATCTGGTATATCCATATATTCACACTGAGCTCTGTCTCTGTACACAAACACGCATGTATGCACAAAGAAGGTGACATACACAAAAATACTAAAAATTGGATCAGATTCTAGCTTAATTCCAGTTGGTTCCAAAAGACTACCTCCCTCCCAGGTCCTTGTGAATATGTTCCGTGTTTGCTGAGTTAAAATAAGCCGTTTGAATATTGGAGAAAACAAACAAATACCGAATACATTTGCTGCAACACTTACACTGACTCATAGGAAGGGGCAAAGCACCCTGGAGGTTCAAGGGCCTGGACTCCAGAGGCCCCGTGGTTGGGCTGTGGTGGGAAGGGAAATATTCGTTCCAGGCTCTCAGCCGAGCATGCTGAGCAGCCTGGGTGCCCACCACTGAGCTGTGAGATCGCAGAGGGCGGAGGCCATAACTCAGCCACGGTATCCTCACTGCTCTCCATTTGTTCAGGCTGGAGACCCAGTGCAGCTTGCAACTTGGACTTCCAGAAATAATGGTCTGGAATGTGAAAAAGCCTCTCCTATGGCATGGAGTGAAGAGAGCAGGATACACACTGTGTACATGGTTTAATCCTGATTTTGCTATCAGAAAATGGATATTTCTTCATATGCATAGGAATGTTAGCATAAAGGAAATACACTGAAATGTGATTTTAGATGTCTTCTTTCTTTCCTTATCCTTCTTCTATTTATTCTTCTTTATTTATTGCCCTAATAGTCTACAATAAGCACAAAGTTGCTTTTATAATTTTTTTTAATTATAAAAGCAACTTTGGTTTTTTTTTTAAAACCAAAAACTCTAGGGGCGCCTGGGTGGCTCAGTCCGTTAAGCCGCTGCCTTCAGCTCAAGTCATGACCCCAGAGTCCTGGGATCGAGTCCCATGTCGGGCTCCCCGTTCAGCAGAGAGCCTGCTTCTCCCTTCTCCCTCTCCCTCTGCTGGCCACTCTTCTACCTGTGCTCTTTCTCTCTGTCAAAATAAATAAATAAAATCTTTAAAAAAAAAGAAAATAAAAACTCTAATTTCTTTTAAAAGGTAATAGAGGCTGAAGTAGAACTTTTCCAAAGAAAAGTTGTATTACCACCCATGCTTCTCCCAAATGCCAGGGAAGAAACTTTCTTGTAGACCCCACAGGGGCTTCTGGCCTGGCCCTGGTTGCGTACCCTATGACACACAGGGCTTGGGGTCTCATGGAGGAGGCCTATATGAGTGTGTTGTTCCAGGTAGTAATTTACAGACTGAGCTTCCCAGAGTCCAGTGCTCTGTGAGGAACATCAGAGCCAGCAGGTGCAAAGGGAAGGCAGTACTGCTCTTACTCCTTTTATACAGTAGGCTTTTCTGGAAGACTTTTTCCCAAAAAAAGGATTTAATTACTTAAAGTAAGTAGAGTGATCTGTTCCAACTCCCTCGTTGTCCTGGGGCCCACGAAGGAGTGGACTTGCCCAGGGTCACAATCAAGTTCATCATATTAGAACTAGAGCGAGGTCTCTGGAAAGACAGGCCAGAACACCCCTGGTTCCTGGCCCTGTTGGAGCTTAAGCATGAGATTTTTGTACAAGGCAACTTTGGAGGGCTCCTTGTAGCAAAGCCAAGCCAACCCTTTAACCCTTTTTAGTTTGAGAGCAATAAACATCCGCTTCCTTGATAATTTTTGACAGGTGGGGATGTGATTCATTCTATGGCTCTCTAAGGCAGAGAAAACAAGAGCACATGGGCCCCTAGGGAACAGAGAGGTGACCTGGTTCAGTCCTGTCATTCCACCGAGGAGGGGCACAATTCCAGGGAAGGGAAGAAACTCCCTAACATCACTCAGGAGGTTCTTTCTGGAGCTGCAGCTGCTCCAGAGGAAAGAAGATGCCCATTTGTAACACTAACATATCACCCTTTTTTTTACAGAAGAGGCCCTCGAATCCCAGACAGGGGCACAAGTTATCCCAAGACACCCAGGGAGGTAGGGGCTGAGTTGGCACTAGTCCATAGCTCTTTGAACCCTCTAACTCCCAATCTAGGGTCATAACCTCCCTCCTTCTCTGCCCCAGCTTGATATGGCTTTTCTGGTTGTCTGTGCAGAGCTAGTTGAGATATCTTCTCCACGATGGCAAATAACCATTTATTTCTTTCCCACCTGTCCACAGGATCATCCGGACGAAAGTACAACAACCACCCAACCAGCCAGTCCCAGCTTCCAGTCACAGCATAGGTAAGAAGAACTTTTAAAAAAAATTTAAAAATCTAATGGGCTCCAAATATTCTAAAGAACTTTTAATCATTCTTATGGACAGATAATTCTGCATAAAACACTTTGGCACACGTACTAATGCGCCTTCTTTGTCATTCTCCAAGGGCTGAACCTGGTAAATGAATTTTATAAATACTGCTAAAAGGTTTTGAATTTTACTGATTATTATGATAAATAGCTTTCACCATGAGACAGAAAATTGAAATCTAAGCCAAAAAAAAAAAATCCACTAATGGGGGTCTATAGAATGTCAGATAATTAAAGTAATAAATCAAGAAAGGGATACTTATTCATAACATTTTCTGCATCATTAGTCAGTAAGTAGTTTTGAATGTGTTTTTTTCTTCTATCAACCAGCCCTTCCACAATTCTTTGTGCACTTGCAGTCTTGAGTGAAGATGTGGCAAAACTTCCCAAACTTTCTCTCTTTCTCTCTCTCCTCTCTCGCTTCGATCTCATATACTCCGTGAACGGTTGAGGGCTGCCGTGGGGGTTTTGACACTCACGGGGGATAGTCTGAGGGAGCGGCACTTGGAAGCCTGGGGGTCCTTTTGAGGAGTCCAGAAGTTTCCCCGTGCCTTTCCTTTCCCCACAAAGACAGATGACAGTGACATATGTCACTGGGGCTAAGGTTGTTCTCCTATAAAAGAGTGGTGGCTGTTCAGTAAGCCTCTGACAGTCCCTATTACTGTCACTTAATAATGTCTCAGACTGTGTAATGTCACTCCCTCTTTAACTGCAAACTTGAACTTCCCATGGTGATGGGGGAATGGGCAGAGGCCACGCTTATACTTCCAGCTCTGCCACTAACTCATCCAGTGAACTGTGTAAGTCCCTTTACTTCTCTGAGCCTTAGTTTCCCCATTTGTGGACTGAGGGGCACAAATGAGATGCTCCCTGAGGTTTTGGTCCTCCATGGTTGCCTCTTTGGATGAAGGTAAGAGAGAATTCCTCCCTACCATAAAATAATTCCTTTTTTTTTTTAAAGATTTTATTTATTTATTTGAGAGAGAGAGAGAGAGAGCGCATGAGCAGGGGGGAGGGGCAGAGAGAGAGGGAGAAGCAGGTTTCCCGCTGAGCAGGGAGCCCAGTGCAGGGGCTCCATCCCAGGACCCTGAGATCATGTCCTGAACCGAAGGTGGACGCTTATCTGACTGAGCCACCCAGGTACCCCTAAAATAATTATATAAGACTGATGAATCACAGACCTGTACCCCTGAAACAAATAATACATTATGTGTTAATTAATTATATTTAAATTTAAATAAATAAATTAAAAGTAAATAAATAATAAATGAATAAATAAATAACTTTTCTTTAGTAGTCCATTCAGAAAGTGTTTGCTAAGCCCCTGCTTTGCAAGAGACTGGTGTTTTAAAGGAGGCAGGACTTAATCCCCGATCTCAAGGGCTTCTCAGTCTGAGCAGGGAATGTAAGAGAAGTTTGCAAAACACTGAGATAAGACTCAAGAAGAAAGTACAGGGCACTGTGTGAGCCAAAGGAAGGGAACTACCAGCTCTCTTGAGGTGGGGTGAAGAAGATTGAGGAGGTTTCCTGGGGAAATGTTTGTGGCTGAGATTTTTCACTTGTAGCTTTAACTGTTTCAGATCAGGGAACAATGAGTATCAGACTAAGTACTGATACTAGTGCTACAGTTGGGTTAGAGGAACAGTTCTATTGTAGGTCAGCAGAATGCTTTTTTTCGTCTCAGCAATTTTTATAAAAGATCCATCTTATATGTGTACAGCCCCTTATAGCTTACAAAGTTACTGAGGGCAGAGGAAATAGAAGTTGAGAGATTGATTAACTAGCCCAAGGGCACCCTGCTTTGTACGTGGCAGAGCCGAGCCAGGACTGGAACTTGGGTCTTGGGAGTCTAGTGCAATCACAAAATGTCATTGGCTCTGTTGGCAACATGGCGAGCCTTGATTGTACGTGGTGGTTGTTTTTTAAAGTACCAAGTGACTTGTGATCTTCTTTCTTCCTCTGTTCTTTGTACCTTAATACAGAAAAGGTTGTGAGATTTGCATAAATCTATTTTGAGGAGCCTCTTCTGGTGAAGGAAAAGAGAAGTTAACGATTTCTACTTCTGTGTCTCCTAAGGAAGATCTAAAAATCTAACTCAAATATGAGAAGAAAAGCACTGTTCCCTCTAGGTCTGTAGGAGCAAGAGCTGGATATGCTCCAAGGAAAGCAACAAAAAACTTCTCATGCAATCACCACCATTTCTCGTAATTTCCTACACTTTAGAGTCAAAGGCGGCTCCACCTGCCTCCAGCTAGTTATAGCCCAAGGAAATGTGTCTGAGATTGGTTTGTAGGTTTTAATGAACCAAGAAAGAATTCCCACAGCCCAGAAATGGAAATTCAGCTGGAGAGCTTGCGAGGACCCTGACGACTGACTGACTGGTCTTTCCCTTGGACTCTGGGGTTAGGAGTTAATGTGAGACTTGCATGAAACTTCCCCTCCCCCATGCTTATCCTTAGGAATGTAGAGACCTGGCTTCAGTCACCCTAAGTGACTAACCCTGGCCCATTTCCGGACAGGGGGAAGGCTAGACTTGAGGTCAGCAGACCCGAGGCTAAGCTCTAGGGCTACTGCTTACTGACTAGATGACACTGAGCAAATAAATCCCTTCACCTGTGGAGCCTCGTTTACCAAAGGGGGAAAATAATAGCATTTTAGGTCATTAGAACTGTCAGGTGAAAAGCACTGCACTAATGTGAAGCATAGAATTGTCTTCAATGATTCCTTAACGAGGAACAAGTTACTCGAGAGGTTCAGACTTCAGTTTCTGAGCTCTGTGGCCTTGGGCAAGTCGCTTACCGTTCTCTGGGCCTTGGTTCCCTTACCTTTCCAATGAGATAATAATTCTGCCTCCCTTATAGGATTGTTCTTAGGATTAAATTAAAAAATGCTTCAGTAATGCCTGGCACAGAGGAAGTTCTCTGAAAACGTTAGTTATCATTATTCTACATGTCAATGTATAGGATGTGTGCACAATATAGAGTCTACTCTATAGCCTATCATTATTACATAATTAATATTAAATACTAGAATCCAGGTAAACTGGAAGGAGAAAAGGGTGAGGAACTATAAAAAGAAGGGGTGGATTGCCGTTTGGAGTTTTGTTGGCTGTATGTACGAATGTGCAGACCCTCCCGTCTGCATGGAGGGGTGGATTTGTAGCAGGGACTGAACCTGCTTAATGAGTCATCTAGGTCTTTTTATTTTAGCTGTGGCTGGTGGTGGGCCCTAGCTACCCCCTCTCTCTCTTCTCCATTCCCCAGCTTCCTGCATCCTTGGACAGGCTGGGATTGGAGCGAGTACCCTTCTGACACTGTCCTGAGCTCCCTTCTGCACCGCCAGTCCTCTTGGCAGCCCATCCTCTCCCTCTCACCGCCCCCAGCAGCAGAAAACCTGGGCAAACGGCCCCCTGGGGACTGCTCACATAGCCCAGGTGTAGCGGCTGCCCTGGGGCGAGTGTCCTCAGCACACTCCCCGGCTCAGCAGTCGCATCAGCCCAGTGCAGGGCGAGCGCCTTTGCGCTGGTGGCCCAAAGCGCCCGCCTGCCCCTGCAGCCCTGACCGCCCCTCTCCCTCTGCGCAGTGTCCACAGGCTCCGTGACGCAGGTGTCCTCGGTGAGCACGGACTCGGCCGGCTCCTCGTACTCCATCAGCGGCATCCTGGGCATCACGTCCCCCAGCGCCGACACCAACAAGCGCAAGAGGGATGAAGGTAAGAGATGGCCACGCAGCCTTGTCCGGGGTGAACCCGCCGGGCTCTGCTGTGGGGCGATCAGTCAGGGGCGGAAGCGAAGATGCCCACTGAGCACCTGCTTGCCCGCAGAGCCCCTGAGTCCCCAGGTGGAGGGGACGCAGGCAGGGGCTGATTGCTCTGGGAGAGGCAGCGGGGCTGCGAGCTGGGAACTGGGGGCTTCCCACTGGCCTGCCCTCATCTTCACCCCTTGGCGGGAGGAGAGTGGGCCTGGCACAACCCTTGTGGCCTGAGCTTGGTGGGGTGTGAGAAGACTCCTGTGCAGATCTGATGCCTGAGGGCAGGACGTGAAGGGTGTGTGCATGTCCTTGTCCCCTCTGCACCAGAGCACTGGGGGTGGTGGGGAGGGGGTGTCGGGTGCCCTGCCTTGAGAGGTCAGCAGATGGCTTCTGGAAGGGCTGTGCACACTTTCCCAGGAAGGCCTCCAGGAGTGGTGATGCTGGGGGTTGAGGAAGTGAATCATCTCATCTCTGCCCTTGGGGCTGGGAGGAAGGAGTATGGTGCCCCCCGCAACCCCGGGATTACAAAGATGACAATCTTCCCGGTTGGTTTTTCTCAACCCTCTTGTGCGTCTGCTGGCTGGGTCTCTGGAGCTGGGCATCTCCATTCCGGACACTGCCCCGCCTTTACCTGGCTCTCTGTGGCCTGGACAGGCTGCCAGTGTGGCTGACGTTAATGGGTTTGAGAGGAGAAACGGACCCCTGGGAGTGTGTAAGACCTTTGTCAGGAAAGGGGAAAAAAAACCCAACAAAACCGCACATGGTTTAGGGCCTGAGAGCCGCGTGACAGAAATCTTGATTCAATTATTCTGTTCCTCGGCACAATTCCCTTTCTCGGCTCCCTGTAAGGGATGTATGTTCTCGTGAGCACATGCCTAAGTACTTAAGATCTGTAACTAGAAAATTGAGTCTGCCCAGTGGTGGATTGGCCTGTGGTCTGCGTGTTCCAGGCCGTGCAGAGGCTGGGCCTGGGGCCTCTGTTTGGAGCTGAGGGGGGTGTGTGGGGATGGTTCACGGCTTCGGAACCCACCTCACCTCTTTTCCCTGTTCTTGCCACTTGGAGCAGATGTCAGAAATCTTTAACTCAGCGGGTGCTGTGCTGTGTTACCGCAGGAGGCAGTAGGCCTACCATCTCTGTTGGTTTTGGGGTTGATGCTGTCATCTTTTCTCCCATTGTCACCTGGACACGCAGCAGATGTGCCCAAGCTGAGGCCCAGCTGTGTTTGATCATGGTGGAGGGGCGGGTTGTGTGACACTCCCTCACAGGCTGAGGGATCCCAGCAGAGATTTTTGGAGAAAAAAAAAATCTGGTTTGATGTTTACCACCAAACAGACAGGTCCTGATTTGGGGGAGGAGGGCTGTTTCACTGTGTTTGTGGAACACCGTACTGGCTTTTAGTCTCTGATCAGCGGCCACTGTTTAGCTTCTCATGATGCTTTGAAAGGTCTCAAGGGGCACCTGGCTGGCTCCGTGGGTAGAGCCTATGATTCTTGATCTTGGGGTCGTGAGTTCAAACCCCACACTGGGTATAGAGCCTACTTGAAATAAATAAATTTTAAAAATAAATGAAATGTATTGAGTGGTCAGAATGCAGGTGTGTTGTTGGTCTAGACTGCTCTGTGCCATCAGGTCATTCCTTGAGGACAGTGGCCCTTTTGGGATATTGACCTTTAAGAAGGACAGTGACAGATGGAAATGTGTTCAGCTGACCCTAACCTGGATGGACAGGGGTCTGGATATCATAGTGCCTGGAAAACACCTTGAGGCTCTGGGGTTGTTTTGATACAATGAAGAATGAGCAGGGCTGGATTGTTGCCTTCAAATATTTGGGAGGCTGGCACGGAAGGTGAGAGGAATGAGACTTTGCTGTTGGCCTTCAAGGCCAGCGGGCAGCAGATACAGAGGGGAGTTCAGCCCAGTGTAAGAAAGAACATGTAAATGTGAGAGTGTCTGGGGCAAACTTGAGAGGTAGTGAGTACCCTGTCACTAGAGGCATGAGAGTGAGCCTAAGTGAACATGTGCTGGGGCTGCTATAGAAGAGTGTCAAGAATTAGATGTGGGATTCGATAATCTTTGAGATCAAGTCCTGATCCCCAGAAAGACCTGGGAAGTGATCTATTCTGCGGTCTGGGGGCTAAGGGAGAATGATTTGATGATGGTCCTGGAACCTGACAGGATTGGTTAGAGCAGGAGGCACAGTTGGCAACCAGAGCCTCCCTCTCTCCCCGTCTTGCATCACCAGGAGTGTACTGAGCAGGGAGGTGGGCAGAAGTGCCCTTGTTCCCACCAGCACACTGTCTGGGAGGAGTACTCACTCCACGGTGCTCCCTGCTGCCCTTTCCTGCCCTCTTTCTTTATCTCCCTAGATCCTTGCACTGGCTTCAGGGGGAGTTAAAGAGGCAGAAAATGCCACCTCCATCTTATAGGGGAGGAAATCGAGGCACCAAAGAGTTCTGGTGACACAGGTAGTGTGGCCTGGGGAGTCGGGAAGAGCTGGAGAGCCCCCGAAGGCCTCAGTTCCCTGGTATTTTCCCACTATCTATTACCCCTGGGTCCCTCCAGAGAGATGCTTTCAAGGCAGAGCAGCCTGGGGCTGGGCAGAGCCTGGGAACAGCGTGTGGAAGAGTTTCAGGCAGAAGGGCCTAGAGAGTAGGTTGGATGCTGCTGCAAAGAGTGTGGTGAGAAGGTCAGAAACCAGCATTGCTGAGTCCACGGTGCTGGCGCCTTGCTGGAGACCATGGCACTATTTTCCCCAGGAGCCCTTGGCAGCCTGAGGGAAGGGCCATGAGGGAGAGAGGCATAGGAGGCCAAGGGGAAGAGGCTGAGAGGAATCCTCACTCCGATTTCTCCGATGAGGAGACTGAGGCCCCATAGGGTGGCGTTGCTCACTCCACTATGCTTTGCAGTCATCTCCAGCTAGGACTTGGGCATTTCCTGGTGCTGCTCTTCTGCCCAGGCCTCAGGGCTGGGGGTGGTGGTCATAGGGTCTAGTCACACAGGGCCGCCCTCTAGAACTCACGGGCTGGCGGACAAGACTGGCAAGCCTGCGGTCCCGCCACCTGGCAGCGTGTCAGGTGCTGCCACGATGGGCAGCAACACCAGAGCGGGAGAGCAAGGCAGGGAGGGGCTGATTCTGACCAAAGGGACCCAGGAAGCCTCTTCCTAAGAAGTGGCCCTTTATCAAGGCAGGAATACTTTATATTGCTTCTGTTTTTAAATTTAAAATAATTAAAATCACATGAAATTTAAAATGGAGTCCCTCAGTTGCACTAGCCCCATTTCACTGTGTTCAGAAGCCTCCTGACATGCCCAGCGGCTATTGTATTGGGTAATGTGGCTTTGGTACAAGTGCTTGGCACATAATAGGTGCTTAGTAAGGGCTCTTTGGTGGAATGGGTCAGTCCTCTGCCTGTTGAGTCTTCATAATTAGTAAGCGGGGGGAGTAGGTAATCTCAACCTGGAGGGTTTCTCTTTGGTATTTTGGGCTTCCACAGAAAGCTCTATTTGAATAAAGAGTTCTGTAGTAAAAACAAACAAGTTAGAACAACTGTTTGACTAGTGGATTGCCAACGGCCCTTTCAGTCTAGAAATTCTAGGACTCTCCCTGGGACGTTTGCCTCCAAGATTGGCTTCGGGGATATGGCCACTGTGTCCGAATCTCAGATGAGCTGTGTGTGGCTCATGTGGCAGAGAAGGCCCTGGGGCTGCTGAGAGCAGAGCTGGGGCTGGCATCGGGAAGCTCCGAGGAGGCAGAGCACAGCTCAGGGCAAGGAACAGCTTTCAAACAGCAGCCAGGCTGGGCCAAGGATGAGAGCACTCTGTTGAAAAGGTAATGAGCTCCCTGTTATCAGATGTATGAGCAGGGGCTAGACAAAGGAGAGGCAGGAGAGCCAAATTAGGCATTTTGGTTTGGACTCCATGAATTTTTTTTTTTTTTTAAAGATTTTATTTATTTGAGAGAAAGAGAGATAGCAAGAGAGGGAATACAAGCAGGGGGAGTGGGAGAGAGAGAAGCAGGCCTTCGGCTGAGCAGGGAGCCTAATGTGGGGCTGGACTCCAGGACCCTGGGACCATGAACTGAGCTGAAGACAGCAGCTTAATGACTGAGCTACCCAGGTGCCCAAGGACTCTGACTTTTGAGGCCTATTCCAATCAGGGGAGCACGTGCTTCTCTGGCTGTCTGTCTGAAAGTGGTTCTGCCTATTTGTTTTCCTTTCTGCCGCCTGACTCGGAGTGGCCATCCACATGGACTTGACTGGGCAGAGGCCACACAGCACCCGGTTTCTCTCCCTGGCCTGCTCTTTGGCACAGGGCACACTCCCCAGAGATGCTCAGGGGGCTTGTGGATAGTACTGAGGGTCAGGGTGGTGTGCTGCCCAGATGTGGGACGCAGCCTCCTCCCCTCCTTGGGCCAGCCTAAGGGCTTTCACGGAGAAGTCTCCAGGATAGGCCTCGGGAATCCCACCGGGCTGGGGGCACAAAGCCTGAGAGCAGTGATTCCCTCCCCAGGGTGGACTTGGCAGAGAGGCGGAGCTGTGAATAGTGGCCATGGGCGAAAGGGCAGCCCTGACCCTCTGTTTCTTCCTGGGCCTTTGATCTCTGGTGCAGCCTCTGTTCACCATCTCTGAGGCTCCCATTCAGGTCCCCTCGACTTCACCCTCCCCTTAGCTCTCCAGAGTTTGAAAGGCCCTGAACACACTAAGGTCAGCCGAGTGAAAATCCCTTTCACTAGCTCAGAAAGCTGTCCAATCCAGCACCAGTGTGGACTGTGGGAGCCTGAGCTGCTTTCTGGGCAGGAGAGGATACACTGCAGGTGGAATTTCTGGCCTTCTGGACCCTGGACTGCTCTCTGCCTGAGGAGGGCACAGGAAAGTCATCTAAAACCCCTAGGTGGCCTGTCCTTTCTGAGAGATGCCAAGTCCAGCAAGACCCTCAAGGAGAAGTTCGGGGGCATTTAGCAG